AAGTAGTGTCTTAGGCCTGCTGGATTTTGGGCAGTTCTTAATTAGAAGCTGTGCACCTACGCTGTTCGTCTGTTTTTATCAGTTTGCAGCTATTGTACAAGCTAAAATTGCTACAGACAATGAAGTTATGAAGACATCTATTCAAATACTATTTAAAAGAGCTGTCTGTATAAGTAATACAATCTCACATTCACTGAGGGTTTGATACTGTATATGTATGTATATATCCAAGGAGTGGAGTTTTATCACTTGGCACAGCTGTTGTCACACGAGTGGCTGCAGCTGCATGAATAAGAAATACTGAGTATTTTTATATGGAAACTTTAAACACTACTTACAGTTTATAGTTAGAGCAGCTATCCATCTTAGTAAAGGTGCATTTTTATCCTCCTGGCATTTATTCCATGAGGAGGCAGTGATCAGTTTATCTGTACGTCAGCACAAACATCGATTTGTCTTTAATAATTTCATTCCCGGAGCAGCAGATTTTGTTTTTTCACAGAAGTAAATTAAGGTCCCTCATTAACTTTGCAATGATTTTAATCATCAGCCAAAATTGAGAGTGGGAATTTGGTTCTGGAGTAAAACTCACAAACCATATGGACATTTTTTGCCAGACACTGAAGAACCGTTCATCAGGCTTGTGAAGTGTTTTCTTTATTTCCTTGGCAACAGGTTTGACATTGATGTATGGGGTAAATAGATATGAACAAAATAAAATATATAAAATAATAAGTATTATATACTTATTGATCAGAGGCTGTTCACATCTGTCCATCAGGAACATTTATTCAATGTCGATTCAATTTTTAAATGCTTGCACTTCTGTGTGTCACTGCAAAGTACAGAACATCTGGATTTTGAATCTTTTAACGGAAGAAGAAGAAGAAGATGACAATGATGTTGGTGTTGATTGTATCAAAAGCAATCATTTTGTCTCCTTAGAATAAATTGGTAACATCTAATGCTTGCATTAAAAAGAAAGCGTTACTGTTGTTGCTGTGGTTGATGTGTAAAACTTCCTCCCTGCAGAGCTCCCTGTGCTCCTGGATCAAGAAGGAGCTCCGCAACATGAAGCCCCGCTGGTGCAAAGAGCACGAAGACTGGGCGCTCTACTTGTTCTCTCCAGAGAGCCTGTGAGTCTCTCTCGTCATTGCAGTTGCCCTCCTCTTACTCCTTGCTTCCTAATTGCTGTATTTGATAACCTTGGCTTCCTTCTCTTATTTTTCTTTTGTTTTGTCTTCTCACTGATTATCTTTTGGTCAATAGCTTTAACCAACCATGGACATCTTTTGTGTCTGTGTGTGTGTTTGTTTAGATTACGGGTTTGGTGCCAAAGTGTGATCTCTCACAAAATATTCGACCATGTGGTTCTGGTTTTCATCTTCCTCAACTGCATCACCATTGCTCTGGAAAGACCTGACATAGAGTCATACAGCACGGTGAGACACACACACACACACACACACGCAGTGACAAGGTGTGTTTTCTTACAGCAGCTATTGAACGCATCAGTGGTTCATGATAATACTTCAATCATATGTCACACAAAAGTTTTTACTCCCCTCCCTATATGTTCATGTGAAACCTAAACTAACCAAATCAAATATAAACGATGTAACAAAGACATGAACTTTGATTTTTGAGTCTGGTTCAGACTTTAACATTAATTACCTTTTAATTTCTTTCCCTTCTTTAGGAGCGAGTCTTTCTGAGCGTGTCAAACTATGTCTTCACTGTGATCTTCTTTGCAGAAATGGCCATTAAGGTAAACTTTACTTTTTTCTTTCCACTTATTGAAAGGTTTACCACACTAGGTTATTCTCCTTTGTTTATTTGAATCATACCTTTGATTTACAAGTGACGTTTGAATGATTCCATCATGAGTTCAGTAGGTTCTCAGTGTTTTGGGGCTTTCACACCAGGTTGTAGCTTTAGGTTTCTGCTTCGGGAAGCAGAGCTACCTTCAGTCCAGCTGGAACGTTCTGGACGGTTTGTTGGTGTTTGTGTCTCTGGTCGACATTCTGGTCTCTCTGGCCTACACTGGTGGAAACAGGATCCTGGGCATCCTCAGAGTCCTGCGTCTTCTGCGAACACTACGTCCACTCAGGTAAATACTGTGTTTGTAGTTTCATCAGTTGGTATGGGATTGATACTTCTGCACATGTACTGTATGATTGCATGTGAACACTAGACATCCTACTCTATTTCATATTCCTGTCCATTGAAATTTGTGTCTTCCAGGGTAATCAGTCGAGCCCCGGGACTGAAGCTGGTTGTGGAGACTCTCATCACCTCTCTCAGACCCATCGGGAACATTGTCCTTATCTGCTGCGCCTTCTTCATTGTCTTTGGCATCTTGGGGGTGCAGGTAGTTTACACACACACACAAACACACACACACACATAGTTTGCTTTTTTTGTAGCATCAAGATTATTTTATGAACCCTTCACACTGCACCGATTGACCTCCAGTCGGGAACGCAGCAGTGATTTTCGGAAGCGGCAAATCGGGTCTAACATCGCCCTGATTATCCTCTAGTGTGCAGCAGCCTTGAACGTCAGTCCTGTTGATCAGCTCCATATGCGATTGTGGCTTGAGGCAGGGTTGGAAGTGTCCTGAATATCCAGTGGACAATGATTCTTTGTCCCTTAAGAGTGTGAGTTGTGAAAGAATGACAGTTGGGTTAACTGTGCAAAAGGACAACATGACCCTCAGGCCAGCGTTTCAGCTGAGCACTCAGGAAAAACCACTGAGAAGAACGAGCTCTGTGAAACGTTTATTTCCTGACATTAATAGTCGGATGTTTAAAAAGCTGCGAGCGCTGGTGAGATAATGTGTAAATTGCAGCCGAGCAGCCCCGCAGACCTCTCTCCCTCTCTCTCTCTCTTTTCTGTTGTGCTCAAGCTGTTCAAGGGGAAGTTCTACCACTGTGAAGGTCTGGACACAAAAAACGTCACCAACAAGTCAGATTGTGCACAGGCCAATTACCGCTGGATACGAAGGAAGTACAACTTTGACAACCTGATCCAGGTACAGATTAACTCACTCACCCACTATCACCAACACGATATTCACTCCACAAATAAAATGTTACTCAGGACAGAAGTCTCACTGTTTTAAAAACATTTTGGTATTTGATCAAGTAAAAACTGGAATAAATGTTCATTATTATTTGTATCTCTCTCCTTCCGATCCAGGCCCTGATGTCATTGTTCGTTCTGTCGTGTAAGGACGGCTGGGTCAACATCATGTATGACGGACTGGATGCGGTGGGAGTGGACCAACAGGTAATGATGAGAGGAAGTTGCTCCGCATGTTTTAGGAAAATAGCCAAATATCTGTGAATAACCACTATAATAAATACTCTAACCCTGAGTATAAGCATTAATGCAAATCCACTTCAAAATACAGCGTGAAAAAGAAACCGAGTGGGAGTGAACAATTAAATTAACAGACTTAAGCCAAATTAAATTGCAGTGTTGTAATAATACCAAATAAATTCAAGGCTCAAAAGAGGAATTTATAGCACACACTTCAAAGCTTCAATTGATGTCCTCAGATCCACGACTGTCTCTGGTGTAATTGCCTGAAATGTGTTTCATGTTTGCAGGAACTGAGTGAAGAGAACCCACAGAATAAAAAGAATTAAAGAAATCTTGATGTTTTACTGCTACACAGACGGCAACATGTTTTCTTTAACTCTTCCTAAAAGCTTTTAAAAGGAGGGGACTTGTAAAGAATTCACATTTCTCTCTTTGTGTCTTTACTAAACATAAAATAGTGATATCAAAAAACTGAATTTTCTCTCCACCCATTCCTTCCTCCTCCTCTTCCTCTACTCAGCCTGTGAGAAACCACAACCCCTGGATGCTGCTCTACTTCATCTCCTTCCTGCTCATCGTCAGCTTCTTCGTCCTCAACATGTTCGTCGGCGTCGTGGTGGAGAACTTCCACAAGTGCCGGCAGGACCAGGAGGAGGAGGAGGCCCGCCTGCGGGAGGAGAAGAGGCTCAAAATGATAGAGAAAAAGCGCAGGAGTAAGGAGAATGGAGGGGCTGGTCGGTAGTCTATTTTTCTGAGCACTGCCTGCTTTCAGAGCCTGACGAAAAAAGAGAACGAGAATGAACAGAGAGAAAACAAGGAAATAGTGGTTGAAAGACTGGCTAGCTTACGCAAACAGCTGATCGCTGACCGAGTGCGTGGGCTACGCCAGTCTGATGCATGTGACTGCATGACTGAGGCCCCCTCCCCCAACACTGCATGGACAACTCAGGATGCCAAGCCATTCTAAGCAACCTCTAAAAATTCATATGAACCTGACTTAAAAAAAACTACATGCTCACTCTCTCAAACAGCAGAGCTGCCACTAGTGTAAAGTTTATTCACAATGAAAGAATAATATTTTTTATTACCGTTGAACTTCTGCAGCACCTCCTGCGTGTGAGGCTGAGCGAGGATGCTCCTCTCCCCCGGGAATTTGGCTCGCAACATTTTCGATTTTCCTTCCCTTCCCTCCCCACGAGTGCATGTGCATCCCCAATCCTGAGGCGTCTCCAGATAGAAGTGGGACAGTTCTAGTTACTACGCTTTGACTGGCAGACTCAGAAACATAGCAGACGCTTCGGCTGCTATATCTGCAAAACATCTGGGGGAATAAGTTGTTCGAGGATGTTAAGTTGGTCGGATACAGCTTGTTGACGATTCAGCATGTGCTGGCAGGAACATTGGAAACACACCAACTATTGCAAAATAAATGCTCACAGTATTTTATTAAGACTACATTGTGGGAATACTGAAACACATCCTTTTTTTAATTGGCAGCCAGTTTGGCTCCAACACTAAATTCTATCCATCAACACATGAATTACAGACGTAGACTAGAGGCAGTAAATGTTGTGAGCAGAACGACGCTCTTTTCATCTTTTCATGTAAGTCACACGTCTCAATGGTCTAAAACTACAGAAACGTCATGTTATCCAATCCAAAAAAAAACAAACTTAACTCCAGCATTTGGCCATTTAATCAAACTCACCTAATAAACATGAAGACGTTTTAGACTATTGAGATTTTTCGAGGCTCCGGTGATTGTTCAGCATCACAGACGGAAAAAGAAATTTTGCTGTGGAGCGAAGAGATTCAATTTCTGAATTTACATCATTTTTGGTAAAAGAACGTGTTGTTGAACATTCACTGTGAAGCCTGTTTCAGCCATAGATGCTACATGAGAGGCATGTCAGCATGCAGGAGATATGGTGAACACATGGGAGGGGGACATAGACATGCACGTATTCACATAAATACAATCCATCATCATGGACATGTGAGTACACAGTCAAAACATAACCTGACATAAAAAAACATACACGTTTCAGCAGCATTTAATTAAGATGTTACAATTAAAGTCTGTTTAATATTGAAGGGCAGTGAAAAGTATGAAAAGCTTTGAATGGATACACAGCAGAGACGTTCCACCCAGACAAGAATGACGTGATAATAGATCATATATATGATGAAATATATATTATAGCCGTACCTGTGACTCTCATGTCCTCTGCTCCTTGGACATGCCACACAGACAGGGGTGTGCACAGAGTGTCTTAGAGACGGGGTTGGAAATAACAAGGGGCTACACCGAGGCGTACCAAAGGGGGGGCAGGGGTTACAGTGAGGTCTGTTTTTGACATTAAGGTCAGTGCACTTGTACTTGGAACTTGAAATTCATTACTTTTGATGTGACTTGAAACCAAAACTGGTGCCTCTGTCCTCCAAACACATAATTAATATCCTGGTTCAATGGAGGCAAAAAAGAATCTGAGAAAAAAGGCAGCGGTGGTCGCCCTCCTCCCTGCCCCTCATTTCTCTGTGCACACCACTGGATACATGTAATCTTTAAAATTCAGGTTGCAGCTTCTCACAGCGACACTCTGGCTCTCTCTGTGTTTCAACTGTTGCCTGTTTGTCTCTCCTTGTGTTTGTGTGCTCCAGAGGCCAAGCAGAGGCCTTACTATGCAGACTACTACCCCCTACGTCTGTCCATCCACACACTGTGCACCAGCCACTACCTGGACCTCTTCATCACCTTCATCATCTGCATCAACGTCTTTACCATGAGCATCGAGCACTACAATCAACCGAAGGTAACGTGTGCACATGCAGGCACAGACGTGATGGTGACAATAACTCCTTCTTTGGGCTTTGGGTTTTCTCAGTCACAGCAGCTCATCCGCCTCCACAAGCACCAGTTTAGTTTGCAGCTCCAGTTTTGAAATAATGTGATTTGACCCAGTGTCAAGAAAAGGCTCATTATTAGATAAAACTCTGCAGTTAACTCCTGTTATGGTTTAATGCTATTCAAGTTAAACTGACTGAAGCTGACAGGTGAAACTGAGATTTATGATCCTGCCTCATAGATTAAATAAGTAATAATGATGGATTTAAGCATTAGTTCCTTTTGAACACTGTTTGTTGTTTCGATACTCTAATTAAATGTATATGTATTTGAAGTTAAGCAGCAAAAATAATCCTCCTTTAGTATACACAATTAATTCATTTAATTTAGAACTCCTATTTATTTTAATAAAAATAAGTTTTCAGTACTGCCTGAGAAATTTAATAAGCACTCTTCTTCTGGGGTGTTTATGAAATGAATGTGTGTGTGTGTGTGTGTTCAGTATTTAGAGGAGGTCCTGAAGTACTGCAACTACGTGTTCACCTTCATCTTCGTCATCGAGGCCCTGCTCAAACTTGTGGCATTTGGGATACACCGGTTCTTCAAAGACAGGTAAAACTAATGCTGTTATGTCCAAATTGGATATTATGATGTGTGAACTAGAAATATTTCTTCATGTCTGTGTGGCTTCTTGTTCTCAGTACACTGAGTTCAAGGGATCTGCTGGTTTGTCTGTCTTGTGGTGCCCTGGTTGAGTTGTAACTCTTTTTTAGTTTGTTCTGTTCACAACTGAAATGTTGAACAAGGTTTGTACGTTTGTTCAGGTGGAATCAGCTGGATATAGCTATCGTGGCATTGTCCATCATGGGCATCACCCTGGAGGAGCTGAAAATGAACGCAGCGCTGCCCATAAACCCGACCATCATCAGAATCATGAGAGTGCTCCGAATAGCAAGAGGTACACACACACACACACGCGTCCATACCTGTTAATCTTGTACACAGTGACAACACACACAGAACATTGTTGTATCAGTCATCACAACAAACACCATAAATATAAAGTGTATTTTGCGATGCACATTTTTATTGTAAGTTCAGCATTATAAGTAATACCTCACCGGTGCCTCCTGGCTGATAGAAATAAATACATATCCCTGCTGTGGCTGCGGTGCTGCAGAAGTATTGTGCTGTGCCGCTGTAAATTCTGCGAAATGGGCCGACTGAAACCTGCTGTTTAAAACGGCCCCTGTGTCTCTGCAGTGCTAAAACTTCTGAAGATGGCCAAAGGGATGAGAGCTCTGCTGGACACGGTCATGCAAGCGCTGCCACAGGTGAGCACAGACCCTGCGGGGGTCTCTTTCTTTCATGTTTGTTTTTTATTTTTGTTGTGTGTATGTGTGTGACTTTAGGATCAGTGTGAAGGTTTCTCTTTGGACTAGACACGCCTCTGAAATATTTATGCACGTTGATGAATATTTAACTGAAGGCATATTCGTCCACATTACAAAATTTCTACCCTGACCCTAAAATGTCTTTTTAATTTTGTACATTTCTTTCCTTACCTTTCCTGAGCTGAACTGTGGACTCCATTAGATGTTTCATTAAAAATGCATGATACAGTAACAAATGCCAGACACATCACCTAGAACACAGTTTGTGGGAATCATGAAAGTTCAGAAGGAATCAAGATCCATTATTAAGCAGTTTCTTCTCTTTAAAGCCGCAGTTTTTACCGTGTAGCCGACTCCCCTGATATTTCTCAATGTTCTTTCTGTCCAGTCCGCACTCTACTTTTTGTGCATCCATGGATAATAATATAATAATAAACTTTATTTGTATAGCACCTTCCGTACAAGAAATGCAGCTCAAAGTGCTTTGCATTCAATAAAGATCAAATAAAATCATGATAATAAAAATAAAAACATGTTAAATGTAATTCATATAGAAGGGCAGATTTTAAGTAACGTACGAACATGTTAAAATGACATTTAAATGAAAAAGAAATAACATTTAATTTAAAAAATGCATAAAAACAGAGAAAGACAGTGAAAGCAAAATGATAAAAGCACAGTAGTGCAGGTAAGTGCACGATCTAGTTAAAGGCTGAAGTAAAGAGAAATGTTTTTAAGTTTGTTAAGGATGTTGTTGCAGTGTCGTAGGTCTCGGCCTCTCCTGCAGCCTGGCAGAACTTCAAAAGAGCAGCTGCACCAAAGATTAAATGCACAAGCAGTGACAGGCCCCATTGTTCTGCTATTTATTAAATGTCAAGTGCACAGAGAGCACAAGCACAGATTCAAAGAACTGGCTGAAAGGAAACACAATGGGAAATATATGAAGGTATGATGCAGAGGTTGTTAGAAGAGGTGCATCAAGTTCACAGAATCTATCTATATTAATGTATTATAATATAAAAAACATCAGATGGACTGCTTTTCATATTTTAACGTTTTGCTGATAATAATTAAATACTTTTACTCAAGTAAGGTTTTAATGCAGAACTCTGCTTATTTTTTAAGAGCTTTAGGTTTAAAGGCGCAAGAACTGTTAGTAAATATGTTTTCTCCACTTTCGTTGCATGGTTACGTTTTTTTAAAAGCAATGAGATACAACATTTCTTTTTCCTGCAGCTTTAAACGTGGTGTGTTTTCACTGCAGTGTTTGTTGTGTTCAGGGATCTAACGTGTATTTTGCTTCCAGGTGGGAAACCTCGGCCTCCTCTTCATGCTGCTCTTCTTCATCTATGCTGCGCTGGGAGTGGAGCTCTTTGGCAAACTGGGTCAGTCTCTCTCTCTCTCACATACACACACATTAACACAGTCAGTCACGACTTACAGCAGCGTTCCCTTCCCCTGAACTGTCTCTGTTGTATCCTCTCTCTCTCTCTCTGTCTCTCTGTCTCTCTCTCTCTCCACCATCCTCACATTAGAGGCCTGTTTCGAACAAGTGAAGATGACATTTGTATGATCACATTTATTTGCATATTGCCTCCTTGAGATAGGCTCGCTCTATCGAACTCATTTTCTCTGAGAGTGCGACAATGTGTCAGGGAGGAGGATTAACAGAAATACATCTGAGGGGACAAAACGAAAACCTCGCAATGAAGAAGTTGCCAAATGTGATTTTGCTCAGGAAGGTCTGCTCTCCCATTATGTGTCATGATTTTATTTTGCTTTTGTCAAAGCTTCTGGATGTGCCGTGCTCCATCTCTTCATTATATCACACAGCTGAAGAAGGCTTAAGATAAGATACCATGCACCTTCATTGATCCCTGTGGAGACGTTTGGGGGAGATTATTATAGTACAGCTTGTTTAAGACCAGGAAACATTACTTTGCAGTCCCACTCACGTTCATGACTTGCCCCAGGAAAATCTGTGGAGCCTGGGTAGAGGACACAGTATGTTGAGGCTGGGGTCTGTCTCAGACTGTATTCTTCCAGTTTTATGTTCGTCACGTGGCAGAAACTTCATCCACTCATCCACTCGCTTCCTGTGAATCCAGAAATGATCCTCCTGTATTATCATATGGCCTCACTCCGACAATTCCTGGACATTTTACTGAGAGGCTGGCAGGGTTCCTAAAAGTCGATGCATGTATGAAAGCAGCTGTCTTCTGTGCCTATTTTAGACATTTTAAAGTTTCTTCTAGCTCAAAGTGATGATTACTTTTTAAATCTCACATTAAAAATCATTAAAAACATTTCTCTGTGCTGATTATTAAATTGTTTATTTCCCAAGAAAGAAATTCCACTCGTTCCAGCGGAGGGATGATGTCTGGGATTATTTGTAAGATGACAGAAAGAATATGAGAGGAAGCAGCTGTAAAGTCAAAATCCCTCAAATCGTTGAAGTACTTAGTGTGATTTTACACTTTGGTGTTTTGGTGAAAAATATTACGCCCTTCTACTCACAGCTCCACTGATCACGGACTTAATTGTCTCATGACATTATTGTGTCCTCAGACGAAGACGGTGTGAGACCTGAAAGTCCTTTGGGAGACCTAAGACACGAGTGATGCTGTCTGTCGGCGCTCTGGGCGTCTTAACTCTTTGCCTCTGGTGTCTGCAGAAGCAGATAAGAGAAGGTCATAAGCAGAGGAGATAGGAAAGAAAATTCATCACTTTGAATCTGAACATAAAAATATATATAAAGTTACTGTTCACTGTTCAATGTCCAGATGCCAGTTCCACCCTTGCACCACGTCCTGTTGCTGATTACACATACATTTTATAGTTTTACAATCAAATACTTCATCACACTGGTTTTATTTTATATCACGTAGTTTCTTTTAAAGGATCTGTCCCCTCTTTTGTTTCTGTTCTTTTTAGACAATCAATCTTTCTGACAATATATATTTTAAAGAAGATCATTCATTAATTTGTAATGTGTAAAAGATTGTTTTTCTCCCAGTGAACGATACTTAGAATAAGATACAAGGTGCGTGTGTATTACTCCAAGGTCTCGTCTTTCACTTCCTCTTAAAAAAGAAGATGTCATCTGGTGACGGTGATTCTGAACAGAGGCTCCACGAGGACTCTCCGTCAAATTGACCCTGACGCTTCCCTGTCCCTGTCATGTCCACATGGACACACTGTCTAGCAGCTCATGTGTTTCAGTACACGCTGATTTCACTTTCTGAATGAGACACCGACTCTTCAGTGACTTTATCGTGTTGTTGTTTTGTCCTCGATGCAGCGAAAGTAACGTATGTCTGTGTTTTTGTTTTGATCAGCCTGCAACGAGAACAACCCGTGTGAGGGCTTGAGTCGTCATGCAACTTTTGAAAATTTTGGGATGGCCTTCCTCACACTGTTCCGTGTGTCCACTGGAGACAACTGGAATGGGATTATGAAAGTAGGAACAAACACACACACACACACACACACACTGAAATGATGACGAGATTATCTCGTTGCCACAGAGAGAGCAATGACCTCCAAAACCAATTATAGAAGAATAAATTAGCTTAGAGTCGTGCAATGTCAACACTTTCATTTTTGTGTTATTAGAACTAGATATGAGATAAAATCCATAACTTACTCAAATATACATACAGATAAACTGGCCTTGTGTCAAAAAACAAGGACATAACGTAATGTACTTTTGTGAACATTTGTGTTTAGCCCCAAATAGTTCGTACATTTACTGTGTGACTAACCAATAACTGAGGTCAGTTTTAAAGAAAAGAAACTGGAAGTTCCTGTTTCCTGATTATCTTAACTTTAATGTAGTTGATATACAGATAACACACCAGAGATATTGCTCCACTCTCCTTGGTTCTACTTAAATTCTTCCAAATGTAAAATCAGTTTAGCCTCACATTATTTATCTAGTATCATCTGCTCTATCCCTTTCTTCTGTCCGTCTCGCTTTCTTATCCTCTGTCCCTCTTCGTTCCTGATTCTCCGCCTCTCTTAAGGATACTCTAAGGGAGTGTCATTCAGAAGACCGCCACTGTCTCGCCTACCTGCCCTTGGTCTCTCCAATTTACTTTGTCACCTTCGTGCTCATGGCCCAGTTTGTCCTGGTCAACGTGGTGGTGGCTGTTTTGATGAAACATCTCGAGGAAAGCAACAAGGTACAGAACTAATTACCGAGTGCACCTGAGATGCACAATAACAATCGCAGTAAAACGCAGTCATTAAGTGAATGTGGGTGTGATTTTGCAGGAGGCTAAAGAGGATGCAGAGATGGATGCAGAGATCGCCTTGGAAATGGCGATGGAGAGGCAACGCAGACAAAGCACAACTTCCCATGGCAGCTCAGTGGAAGGAGCCTACGTTGGGCCGTGTCCACAGTCACCTGGACAGGTAGGGGCGACATCATCTTCCTCATGGGTCGGTCAGGGAACTGCACAGGAAATGTAAATTGGGAGGTTATGGGGACAAAGTAGCGTTGATAACTCTCGGTACATGTTTCTGAATTTGTCCTTAATCAGTGTTGCAGTATAACTCACTGTGCGGTCTCTGTCTCCCCCTGCAGGAGGAAGAAGTCCAGTGTGAAGACCCAGACCTGCTGTCGTCAAGGAAGATGTCCGTATCCAGGATGCACTCCCTGCCTAACGACAGCTACATGTTCCGACCCGTACGGCCCGCCAGCGCCCCCTATGCTTTGGAGGAGGTGGATCTCAGTCCCCAGAGCGAGCATCAGCATTCAGGTGCCTCATTAGCTCTTGTTTTATCTCTGTATTAAACAACCACTGAGATTTTTCTACACTCTAGCACCAGACTAAAATGCATGGTTTGAAGCACAACCAGATGATGCTGTGATTTGATTTAAATGAAGGAGCTGAAGTTATATATAATATATCTAATATTTGCTTTAGTCACATGATGCAGAATACACCTAGAAATGTTGTTAAAGTTATAATTTAAAAAAGAAAATGCACAATATGCTCTCGCCTCGACCAGGTCTCTCTCTTCGTGACTAAACACTAACATGATTTACATTCTTCTAGACAAAGAAATCACAGTTGTCACATCACATTATTATTTTATCCTCCAGTTTGAGCTTGTGTGTGTGTGAGCAGTCACAGTAGGAGCAGAATGAACTGTGACTGTTTAGCGCTGACGAGCACTGTTTCACTGTATCTGCAGTCAGGTTCTAATGGCATGTTGTGGCCAGGCTCTAGACAGACACAGCTCTGTCCCAAGGTACTCACTGCAGCGGATGAGCCGATCCATGTGAATCTCTGCAACCGTCTCACAGGCTCATCTGCTCAACGAATGAATACTCTGCTAGAATGATGCTTAACTTCACGACCAAGCTGCAAAGTCAAAAAGAAGAAAAGAAGAAAAAGTCTTTGTATATGTTAAAAGAATTTGATCCAGACAGTCGTGATGAAGTGGCTTTTCAGCTTGGACTAAAAGAAAAGTGAACTCGTGCGGGAATCTAACTCTGACTTTGCTGCACACTTTTTACTTTTAATAAATCTGAACTCACAGGTGGAGTGGACCTGTGTGTGCAGAATGTCTGAGACCCTGGTTACACAACAGTCGAAACAGATTTAGCTCATGACGGAGTCTCTTTCTCGTCTTTGCAGTCGCACTCTACATTTTGTACCAACGTAGTGCTGTGGTTGAAAGTCGTGGGACTGTTAACGTAACCAGGGTCTGATTTACGTGCTGAGAACTGGCCTTATACTCTTCTGTATGACTCAATCCCCTGACCTTACGAATATTTTTTTAATGTGCAAATGGGTTCTAATGATTTCTTTGCAGAAAACACTTTATTTTGATGGCAGGTTTATAAATAAGGATAAATAGATGAACAAATAAAATAAAACTCTAAAATCCAAATATGCTATCAAAATAAAGTTTTAGAAATGTTGATGCATGAGTTTTCCGCACGTATGCACGTGTTTGCCGTCAAAGAGTGTCTGTGGGGTTGAATCTGATCGTGTCTGACTCCAACACTTTTCCATCTGACTCTTCAGGCTCAGTGACGTCGCTTCACTCGCAGCCATGTGAGAGTCACGCTCTGCTGAAGGTTCCGGAAGTTTCCCCCGTTCACCCCCGGTTGCCTCCCACCCTCACCCTGCCCCGCATCGCCCCGCCCACACCGAGCCTGTCTCCCCGTGCCCTGCACAGACAGGTGAGAGCTGCGTACACACATACAAACATTCAAATACACACACAACAGTTTAAATTGACCGTGATGTCATAACGTGTGTTCTTGTACTTCATGTTGCAGGTGGCAGTTAAAGTGGATTCGGTGGAGTCGCAGGGTTACGAACAACAGGAGAGGCCGAACCCTGTCCATCGTCCTCCCCTGTCCCCTTCTCCCCTGTCTCTTCATACCTCCTCCCCATCTCCTCTTCCCCCTCCTCCCCCTCCTCCCTCCTCTCCTTCCTCCCTTCCCCTCCCACCCAGCTCGGCCTCTGCCTTCCCGCTTCCTCCCGCGTCTCCCTCTCCTCTGCCTCCTCTCCTGTCTTGCCCCTCTCCCCTCCCTCCTCAGCCGTCTTCTCCCGCACTTCTCCTCCCCCCGCCTCCCTCTCCACGTCTCCCGCTGCGCCCCGCAAGCCTCCGGAGACCCAGACCACCCTCTGCCGCCTCCCTCTGCGACCCGGCCGACGAGGAGGTGTATCACATCACCAGCCGCAGGTGGAGAGATGAGGAGAGCAAAGGGAAGGTCGGCCGCAGCCACTCCCTCTCCCCTTACACTTCTCCTTACTCTCTCGACTCCTCGCGGCTTCCTCCCCCGCTACTGCCCTCCTCCTCCTCAAAGAGCACGCTCAGTCTGCTTCAGACAGGATTGAAGGACCGTGACTTCAGGAAGGGCATCAGCATCGACAACCAGGGCTTCCTGGACAAGCCGTCATCACTGTCCGTTGGTTACCCTGACGACCACCGCCGCCATTCCATCGAAGTCTGCCTCCCACAGGCCGTCATCACTGGCGATGAACCCTTCACACAAGAGGCCCACCAGTCGGAGAAGGGTGGCCAGGCATTTCCTGTCAGGGTGCAGTCAGTCGGGGGTGGCCACAGAAAGAAGAAGATGAGTCCTCCCTGCATATCCATCCACCCGCCCTCAGAGAAGGAACCACCCCAAATCCCCTCCCTCCCAAAACCTGCCGACTGCAGCACGATGCTGAGACGCAGGACGCCCTCCTATGATTTGACGCCACACACACAGGTGCCCTCTCCGACGCACAGAGCGCTAACACCGATCCACATACCTCTGCAAGCACACTCACCAACTCACACACTGACTCCCTCGCGGGAATCTACTCCAACACACACTCAGTCATACACTTCCCCGCACCCATCCACACCTACACACCCACACATCCCCATCAGTCCGAACATCTTCATCCAGCCTCACGCACCTCTCGGCCCAAACACTTTCTCACATACACGCTCCCTCTCCCCCGCTGCGAGGCACTCGTCTCTCACGGGGGACTGCATCCCCCTCCCCCAGTTCACCTTCGACCAGCCACAGTCCAGATACATGAGCGGCCTATCAGCTGGCCTGTCAGACGCTGACACGGCCACCTGCTCTTCCCCTTTCGACAACAGACTGGGAAGTGGTGCGGGATTCAGTGCAAAGAACCGGAGGACCGCCCAGTGAACATTGAGCGTTGCCTTCAGGAAGTTGTTTGTTTGGTCCCAAAATCTCTGGAGCTGGATTAGTGCGGCCTCAGCTGACCTCAGCAGAGATTGGATGCTACGGGAAGAATTCGAAGTATCCTGGGAGAGGAATATCCTTTGTTTTCATTTTGTTGAATACTGAAAAGACATTGATTTCTCTTTCCAGAGAGATGCTGGTACAGTCCTGTCCTCGGATAATATACAATGGATCTATTATCCTGAACCCAGCGCAAAGGACAGCAGCTCCGCTGAGGCTGAACCAGAGTAACAGTACCCACTGTACGTGGTGTGTTCGGACTAATACTATAAACACACCAGGACTAAAGCCACCTAACTCCGTAGCCAAAGTTTTTTTTTTGACACACTGTCCCTTCCCATGCAAGCCAATCAGGAAGCAGCGTCTGGCTGAACCTCTGACCTTTACAGGAAGCGGGTTTGTGAAATGCGAGCATGGGGGGAATTGTGGGATATGCAACTTCAGGTTTTCTACAGAAGTTCTACTTGCCCCTCCTCTGCTCCTCGATCACATTGATCAGAGCAGAAGTGTTTGTGTGTGTGTGTGTGTGTGTGTGTGTGTGTGTGTGTGTGTGTGTGTGTGTGTGAGTGAGTGAGTGAGTGTGCGTTTTCCTGTCGAATCTGTTGTCATGGAAGTCGGCCATGTTATTCTTACGCCTGCAACGACAGAGGAGGGGGAGCAGGGCAGAGCTGTAGTGTATGTGTATCTGTGCAGTGTACATAAAGGAAAATACTGTATTTGGTGAGATTAAAAATAGCTCTATCCATATGCACATATTTTTATAGAAATCTAAGATGTTTTTGCACACAAAATTTGAATTTCAAGTTGCTTGTTTTCCCTCTGTTGTCCTCTTGTGAATGTATGTTTCTTTTCAAAGCAGAGAGCAGAACAGTGGAAGGGGATCAACCCTCCTCTCAGCAGACTAGCTGCGGTGGAGGAGTGGGATTTTATTTTTCTATTTTGAAAAAGAGAAAGAAGAGAACAGGGGTGTGATGTGTTTCTGTAGCTTTGTCTCAGATTTCTATGTATCCGGTGTCTAAATAACAGTCTTAAGACGTGGGCTCAGTGATGCGTTCCAAATCGATTTCAAGACGTTTCCCCACCTAGATTCTGCAGCGAGTACGATTTGAATCTCCACAAATTTAAATCTCAAAAAATAAATGAAAATTCCCACCGTTTTTATTCGAGTAAATCGTATGCAACACATTAGGAATTGACTGCACTTTGTTTCTATTAGACCTGACGAATACACGTGAAGAAAATCCAGTGTTATTCTCACGACGCGGCATCACGGAGCATCTCTTCTTCAACTGTTTTCAAGCTGAATCAGCTCCGACACCACTTAGTGTTTCTGTACATCTAAAGACAACCAAACTTACTAAGTATGTGTAGCCAGAGTGCAATAATAATATATACTTGTGGTAAATATAGTGACCTTGACGCTATATAAAACAGCCACACTCGTGTTCGTACATACTGTAGAACTACTATATACGATATAAACCCATTTTATATGATGATTACGAGTGTTTCTATCTCTAGTGTTCATGCTACTTTAGGTTACCTGCCCCCTGCGTGTGGCGGTGGAACCTAAGCTGGAAGCTTCTGTTGTTTTGTCAGAAAGCTCAGGCCCACATGCCGACGGTTGTTATTGTAATCTGAAGAGTGACATGCATCCCTGCTGAGGACTCAATAAGACATTCATCACTGTTTCTTTTAATCCACGCTGACTGTAAACAGAACAATACAGTCAAGACTTCATGTTTGTTTAAAGGTTCAGTGTGAAAGATTTAGGTGAAAGGGATCTACTGGAAATTAAAAATAAAATAATCCTAGTGGTGTTTCCACTAGTGTGGTTCATCCCTTTATATTTAAATAGAGGAGAGGCTCCTCTCTATGGAGGCTGCCATGTTTTTTACAGTAACCTTATGAAACTGGAGGCTACCACAAGTTCTCTTTGGTGTTTGGAAGGGGGGGGTGGGGGGAGGGGTATTCAGCTGCAACATGCAACTTCACCACTAGATATCACTACATTCTACACACTGAAACTTTAAATGCATGAGTCATGGTAAATGCACCTACCCACAGATGAAATCATGCACCCACTGCAGGGTGTGAATGACAAAGTATGGTGAGCATTTCCCTTCCAGTGGCTGAATGTTCACATATGAAGCCATACTTGTGTTCAGCAACAGCACAATGTGTATTTCTGTTTTGTGCACAATCTGGTTTGGCACTGGCACAGGAGAAGCATGCGTGTAAGCTGCTGGTACCGATCCCTGACTTTCAAAGGCAGCTGGCTGGGTCGACGTCTTCGTGTTTAGTTTTGTTGTTCTTCTGTCTGATCAGCATGTAACATGCACAAGTCCTCTATAATCTGAGGGAAACCAAAGTGCTTTGATGCTGTACCATAATCACCTCAGGTTTTTTTTTTTCACATTTGTGCAAATTAAAAATGATGCATCTCTATAGCTATTACCAACCAAACCGACCACATTCAAAGCATATATCCTTTTTCCTTTCACTCCAACTAAACTGGTGTTAAAAGGCCTCTGATAGCTGCAGAGACTTTTGTAAGAGTAAGGTCTAATAAAAAGGTCCAAATTGTTATATTATTATCATCAGATTATCTTTCATTAGCTTTGCATCCCTCCAGCAGTATGCATGTAACTGTTGAGTTAAAACATGAGGAGAAAAGCAAGAGAAACGACTGTATGTTTGGTTCATTTTGCGACACGTCCACACCTTTGACCCGACTGGTTGGACAACATCACATTCAGCAGTGCAGCGCTGCAGCTGAAGGTTCAGGAGAGCGTAACGTAACAGATAAAGTTAGATAAATGTCGGCGTCTCGCAAAGACAGATTTAAATCCTCTCAGTTCTGACAGCGTCTCATCTGATGTTGGATTCTGAGACGTTGCACTCCCTCCTGAACGTGGCACAGTTGCTCATTCTCCCTGGTTTTTAGAATCATTTTATACAGTATGTGCTTAAACACTCTGTCACCTTGCAACATGTCCTGTTTCATGTCCTCTTCCTGCACAGACTGTCAGCGCTGAAGGTTTTTAAGTGCAGTCTGACGACAGCCTCTTTCCGTTTCATTCGTATTTGACTTAGCGCAGACAACACCGGTCTCCAGCACATTGCCATAATAATCAATACAGTTTGGTAGGGTGACTGCATATTTGTTCTTACGATTTACAGATCTTTGGATCTCAGTATTTAAATCCTGTTTTTGAGGAAACAGTTTTGACTGTTGCATGTTACGATTTAAGAAAAAAAAACTTTTGGGAAAGAATCATCTGGATGTTTTAGAGATTTTGATATTTGCATTTTCAGATGTTTCCATTTGTAGATTGACTACCAAATTGCACTGGGCTCTGATTAATTGGTATCTGAAAATGATACCTGATTAAATGACCCTATTCTTTATTGTCCAATGCAATACTGGGTGGTTATTTACTGTATGAGGACGCAGCTCCTCTTTATACAGTTTTATAGACAGACATGGAAACAGAACTGGTTCTATTTTGTTTGGAACCATTGTTATTTAATGTTGAGGTGAACCTTTATTCACACAAACATGGTAGAACTCTGGTGATGGTGAAACTAATTAACTGATGTATATTTTATGTAGGAGTAGCCTTGACCCTGATGCTCTGTAACAGACAGATCAGGTTTAGTAATAAGTTGTATTTTCTCGCTGGTCCGGCCTCGGATTGAAGCCGCCACAACAAGTGTTGCCACAACAGCAGATCCAGATGTTCAAACTGTGATAGAACTTGATTTTGATGAATCAGAAGCCTTCTCTTTTCTTTCTTTCTTTCTTTCTTTCTTTTGTTTTTTACAACCCTTCAGCGATTGGCCCAAGCACCCCCCCACCCCGAAACCACCCCCCAAGCCTTACAAGGAGGGGAGGAGGTGTGTTCTGTTTGTCGGAGGAGAGCCAATGTGTCTGCAATAATAAGCCCTCCGTTATTCCCCGTCACGGCGGGAGAAGGGAGGGGGACAGGGGAGGTGTTTTAAGGCTCGACACGCAGTCGGACTCTCTACATTGTATCGTTGCTGATTATTGTGTGATGACCAACCGTTGTCCTGAAGGATGTTTCCCTGTCAATTAAAAAATACAAGATTTTTTTTATTCCTGAAACGTCTTGTCTGCTTCGTTTCTTCATTTCATCTTTACAGTGTTTAATCAATCAGGATTAGTTTCATGGAGGTAAAAGGTAACTAAATGAAACATATACGAAGGAAATATTGTTCCTTCTACTCCACTAAATGTACTTTACATCTTTATTTACTATCGTTCTTTATGGGGATCTTACTCCACAGTACCTTCAGTGTTGTACCGACATATTTCTACGGTAGCCTTGAACAGACAATCCAATCAACGGCTCTGGAGAAGGCCCTCTGGTGTTTATATGTGACCTGAAGAACACTGATCAACACACGGTACTTTAACATTTGTACACACTGGATAATATGACAAGAAATTAAAACATCATTATTAAAGATAACACCAGTGGTTTCCAACCTGTTCGGCCTCTGATGAAAGAATCAGAATATTCCACCACTGATGTAGGGGACTATATCAACCACTAGATGGCAATGGTAGCTAAGGAAGTGTGTGGGAAGTGTTGACAGTGACGTATACAATTGAGTGTCTCATGTGGACTTTTATACTTTTAATGTTTTTAACAGCAAACCCAACTCACCAAGCTTCAGTACTTCTACTTCACAATAACATGTGTTGTTTATATGCATCATATTTGTCCTGCTTGAACATTATATGCACTGTAATTAGACGTGATGGTAGCCTGTAGTGCTGTGTGTGTGTGTGCGTGTGTGTCTGTGTGTGTGTGTGTGTTTGTCTGTGCGTGTTTGTTAGTGAAGGAATGTCACTTGTAATATGTTCCTGTGAAAAGCAAAAGGTCAAGATGACAGATCGGAGAAAAATAAAAAGCCTCCTCCCCCGACACAACAGCTTTTCCTTTAAAATGCCTATACACATTTGAGATCACTGCCACAAATTAAATTTAAATTCATCCCCCATTCGTTTTGAAATCAGTCTTGGGCTTTTTGTTCATTTGACTTTTCATGTATGTTTCTGAAATGATCCCGTCAAAGCTACATTCAAAGAGCGACTCTGCCTGTGACCATTAAAGTCACATCTCTCTTTTAGGCTCACTATCTCTCTGAAGTTTGTTGCAGTGCAGATAGACCCCCCCTCCATCTCCATATGTCTCTGCACTTATCTGCTCTTCAATTAACTCGGTCACCTGTCTGCCAGGTTTTCCATCTTTGTGGTGCCATTAAACATCCACTACCAGCTTTTAATTGGATAAGCACATTTGGCAGTTTAGAAAAAAAAACAAAAAGAAAACACGCCACTCTTTAAAAACGTTTCCTCCCAGGTGGTGATCAACCTGCCTTGGCTTTAATTTTGGGGAGCAGTGATGCTGCTCTGACTTCGTATCAGAGGGTAAAAGGAAATAAATGTCATTATAGTTAAACTGTAAAACGTGTATGTTACATTTAGACACTTAGGGTTAAATGTTGTATCACCATCAGTAAGTGCTTGTTGAACAATCTTTGGATTCCAGTATCATCGATGTTTTTGAATGATTATTTGTGACTCTAAGAACTTCTGAACTGTCTTTGTCACAAATCAACAATATCCCATTTGAGCAACTTGTTAGACTCTGGTGGTTTGAATGAGGACACACACGAGAAGACGCTGTGAATCATCTTTAAAAGCAGAGCCCACAATCATCACACTATCACATCAGGCCCCCACAGGCTCGAGACAGGGAGGCTTGATTCTCCAGGAATAGTCCTTTTCCTGCAAAATTAACCTGATTTAGTTACCACTGAGAGCCAAGAGTCAAATATAATTAAACAAGTTATAATGGGCCACTGGGACGTTATAATTAGTGATCCCTTGTTGCAGGAGTTCTTCCTTCAGCCCAGAGTGATCAGAAAAAGACATTTACCTGCTCAGAAACCATCAAGGATTTGAGACTCCCTCAGGAAATCAAGGTTATGGTCACTGCAATGTTTCCATTCTTCTTATTATTATTATGAAAATAGGCCTATTTTTTCAATCTATGTGCATCTGTCCTCAGGGTGAGCATTATTTTCTTCTCTTCTATCACATGGTCCTGGGTTCACTATTATGTGGTTTGTATTTTTTATATTTCAGCCGTTATTAGTTTATCATCCAAAGGCTGCGTCTTCACTGTCCAAATAATTTATCATCAGCCCGGCCCATTAGCAGAGGTTGTTGTAAAATGCTAAAAACTGTCTGTAGAGGAAGCGTGTGCGTGCGGAGGGGAGGTCTTTTTTGCTTTAAGATTTCGTCGGGGCCTTTTCAGGCTTTTGCTTCAGGCTGCGCTAGAAACTGGTAATTTTCATTTTTGCATCTTTCCATAAACAGATGCTGGGATAGTGGACCACAGACGACACAGGGATGGAAACCACAGACGACACTTTCTCAACCTGCAGCTTGAACATATGCAGATCACTAACACACTCCTCTGTGTAGATTGTCTGTGATGGTTCCATGATGGAGTAAGTCGTCATGTTCAGTATATTCAATGTGCTTTTAAAGGCTTCATATACTGAGCTAATTCCTGATTCTCATTGTATTATTCTATTTGAGGCTAATGAGGCTTATAGGTGCTTAGTCTGGAGATGCTTGGAGAAAGATGTGGGTGGACGCAGGAAACCTGACATCTTGTACTACTGAGTACAACACAGAACAAGAACAAGAACAATTACTTTGCAATGAGATTCTAAATGAGCTCCAAATCGCTGCACCTGATTATTTTCAGAGTCATCTTCAGGAGATCATTTCTAAATGACTGTTTATCATTCCCGGAGGACGTGACGTTAATAAAACATTTTGAAATGTGGAGTTTCATCTACCGAGAGCAGAGTTTTACCTCTGGTTGCTTGCTCGCTCTTCTCTATTGTTTTAATGTACATGCACACACACACATACATGTTTTATATTTATCTGCCTTCATGAGTTAAGTTGTACACAATTAATTATGTTTCTTTACCCTACTACTACAATTGTTATATTTGTTTATGAGGTAATTTACTTAGCGATAGTTCTTGATCATGTGTGGCCTACAAGCACTGATCATAACTGTACGTGTGTGTCAGTGTGTGTGTGTGTGTGTTTGTGTATATATCATTTAGAAAGTACTACAGGAAGCACTGAATAATGTTCTCAATGAAAAGATCAGGACATGTAAGGGGAAATTATTGATCTCTGCATTAACAGTGCAGTGATGTGTGTGAGTGTGTGGGTCTGGGGGAGCGAGATACTGTAGCATCTGTCAGTCACATGTTTGTGGTTGAGTTACCCTCTCTCTCTCTCTCTCTCTCTCTTTGTGTGTGTGTGTGTGTGCACACATGTGGACACCCCTCGCGGCCATTCTGTCTCCCAGACAGCTGTTTGGTGACCTGATAACACCCCCTCCTGTCCCTCCTACAGCATGTCACACACACACACACGCACGCACACACACACACACACACACACTTGGCAGCCCAGCATGTCTACCACCACTGGTATCCCCGAGCTATCACACACACATACACAATTAACCACCGTCAGACCCACCCACTCACTGCTCTCATCCTCCAGTCGTGTCCATTCATCGCTGGAGTCATAAAGGAACTAAACTTCACATATTTGTTGCTTGTACATAAAAAAAACCTTGATTATAAAAAGGAAGCTTCCACAAAGACACAACAAGGACGGGTTGTAGAACTGAGGGCTCATAAATAACATACACTGAAATGCACACAACTCTGGGCTTTGTCTTTGGATAGAGAGCAGGAGTATAGAGCTCATGTGGTCTGAGTTTGTTTGTTATGTAGAACCAACCTGCATCTACCAACCCTGTGTTTCCTATCGTCTTGTGGTTGTCATGTTTACTTGGACACTTTGACTCGATCCGGACAAACACCAATGCGATGGCTTCTTTCCCGACCCACAAGGCATCCTTCCACCAAGTTTCGTGATAATCCGTCCAGTAGTTTTTCAGTAATGCTGCTAAAATACAGACAAACAAAACGAAAACATAACCTCCTCGGTGGAGGTAGCAAACAAAACCCTTGGCAGAGGTAATCAGAGGATTATTCAGCAGCCAAATTAACTAAAACTGAAGCTACAGGTTTCAATGAGGGAAATAAAGAAAATTCCCAAGTTTCAAAAATAGCTCTTTGGTCCCTTGCTGGGTTTCTGCAGTTGGTCATTATATTCTGTCGCTCATTTGCAGATCTTTTGGGTATTTTCCAGTGTTGTGTTCATTGTCAGTTCATTGTCACTTGGATTTGGGCAAACTTTGTGATATTGTTATCTCTGTAATCCTCGGGGACTTGCTGCTTTTGTCAGATGCACTTAGGTTATAGGCACTTGGCTCCAATCAAGTTGTGCCGTGCCCCCCTATTCCTGCTTGTGACATTCCGTTTATGAGGAGGTGCAGCCAAACTGTCTGGAAAGTGTCCAATATGAAGGCACTGGGGTACCATCTGACATTGTCCTTCTTGCTTCAGTGGGCCGTGATCACTGATTTGAGCAGGAGCAGTTTGCAGCGGAGTGTGACACAGTCAGACCCGAGGAAGCAGCTTCACGTCAGCATGTTCACTTCCACCTACAGTTTAGATCGCTGCTAATTTATGGGTGGCTCCGCCTGACCTGGTGTCTTTGTCACTTTGATCAAGATATGCAGCAATCAAATGGTTGCAAAGATAATCTGAGGTGCGAACCCATTTTATCCAAGCATCTGTCGTCAAAATATTCTGTTCTCGACACATTTAACCTTTAGCTCTGTAGCACTGAGACGCCTGCATCTGTCCTTAGGCTCATAGATGAAAATCAGACTTATGACTTTGCCACTTTACTTGCTATCTATCACTCTCACTGTTATCTGGGGAAACTAAAAGGCCATTAATATTGTCTTTAAATAAGATAAAGTACACTGAATTCATTTAAATGGCAAAGAAAAGGTTACCTTTAAATCTTTTTAAAACTTTGACATAAGAATGAATAAATAAATAAGAACATGGCAGCATGGCAGTTTAGTCATTTCACTGTAGAAAGAAAAAGGTCATCGTGATGGTGCACCAGAGATCATCTGACCGTTGTTCCTCAAGCGTCTGAGCCTCTGTTTGACCCTTTAAAGGACTCTGAGACTTTGCGTTGTGTGTATCCTCCTGCTCGCTCACCGATAACTGAAAATGACAAACAGGTCACTGGTCAAATGTAGGCTATTGCATTTCCATTTATGTGTCAAATCAATACTGAAAGAGGATGCAGAAGAAGACTGTGGCCGGGCAGGCTGGAGCGCACTGTAATAAAGACCAGTCAATGCTTTATAGTAATATCATAAAATGTCAAGTTAGAATATTGTTATTATTTTCCTAATGGGAGGGGGATGTCCTGTAGTCTCCGAATTTTATGACTTCACCTTTGCTCGCTGCTTTGAATTCTTTCATGTACTAATAATGCTGTTTAATCTACGCTGCGTTCTTCTCTGCACTGTAGTCTTTGAGTGAACATTTGATATAAAACTAATCCCTGACTTCCCATGGAATGCATATGCTCTCGGCTGCTCGACATTCAGATTATGTGACCTTTTGCCACTAATATGCCTGTAGGGAGACACTGTAATGTGTTTGTGATTCCCAATAATGAGTTCATTGTGACCTGACGCAGCCTTATGGCATTTTTAATGTCACAAGGCCATTCTGTGACATTTTTTTATTTCGTCCCTGCTACTTACAGGTCTGCTGCTGCATTTATCGGTGTCTGTAGTCTGGCCTGGTTGAATAACTGGACTTCTCTCTTGTTCAGTAACAGATTGAAACTATTCTCAAAAATGTGTGTGTCAGCGTGAAGTCTTACTTCTCCATTATCAATAGTTTTAAGATGCAAATGTGCAAATAGAATAAGCTAACAACACACACAAGCCACACGCGCACGCAGCACACTCGTGCACGCTCAGGCCATCCAGTCGTTTGATAGTCGTTTGCTCAGTCAGGTGTGAATCGTGACTATGTGTCCATTTGTGAGGTCCGTATTACTGCATGTAACCCCCCCTTCGCTCTCTGATGCTCTCGCCTCCTTGCTCCTCTCATCGGAGCGAGGGAGAGAGAGAGAGAGAGAGCGGCTGTACAGCACAGGGACGTGCAAATTCACTTGACAGCTCCCAAGTCAAGTGGTGGAGATTCTCTAACGCTGAGGATAGATAGATGGATAGATAGATAGATAGATAGATGGATGGATGGATGGTTGGATGGATGGATGGATGGATAGATAGATAGATAGATAGATAGATAGATAGATAGATAGATAGATAGATAGATAGATAGATAGATAGATAGAGAGAAAGATAGATGGGTAGATGGATGGATGGATAGATGGAGAGAGAGAGATGGCTATAGAGAGAAATGGATTGAGAGAAAGAGAGAGAGATGTTAGAAGCATAGAGAGATGGATGGATAGATAGCAGCT